CGAGACCAAACCTCTAGCCGAGAGTGTTGCGGCTCAGTCGGACTACATTGAGCCCTGCGGCATCCACTGGAGGTATTTTCTGACCGTATTCCAGTCTTTTTCCGTCGGCAATTCTAATGGCATTGTGTGATAGGGAGGGAAAATTATTCAATTACAGCTGCTGCTTTGTGGTAAAACCCCAATTTTTAAACGAAATTGTTAAAATCTACTAAATCGACTTCCAATTACCAATCTTCATTGCTATAACTTTCATGTTTTTATGATCATTTCTAAAGAAAGTATATCGGTTTGGCTCGCTGGCATCAGAAAAACATAAATGGTACTGGGTACTTTTATGTTCTGAAGTGGCTGGTGCATTTCTTGTGATGACAGTTTTTAGACATTTTCCGTTAGATTAATATCCTTTCTCAAGATATCTTAAGTTAAGGTTTCCAATTGTCAATCTTCCCGGACTTGCCTTCATGAATTTGTGATTATATCTTCAGAAACATATTGATTTGCTGGTTATTGTGCGAAAAAGAAGTACTTTTTATAAAATAAATGTCCTGGAGTAGTGTGATGGATTATCATGTATGACCCCTTACAGGACATTTGATGATGGATTCCCCAACTTGTTCATCCCAAATGCACATGGGATCCGCGGGCAACACGTTGCTTTCCTTGCATCATTTAGCTCACCAGGGGTGATATTTGAGCAGCTCTCAATCATCTATGCCTTGCCAAAGTTGTTTGTGTCTTCATTCACCCTGGTGCTCCCCTTTTTCCCCACCGGCACTTCTGAGCGCATGGAAGATGAGGGGGATGTAGCTACAGCGTTTACTCTTGCTAGGATACTGTCTAATGTTCCAATCTCAAGGGGAGGACCCACAAGCTTAGTTACCTTTGACATCCATGCCTTGCAGGTTTGTGAACATGCTCCATTGAATGTGCATGCATATGATGTTCGTGTCCATCTGCTGCCCCTTATATAATTTGAATGTCTGGCTTTTGTTCAGGAGAGGTTCTACTTTGGCGACAACATCCTGCCGTGTTTTGAGAGTGGGATACCCCTGCTTAAAAATAGATTGCAGCAGCTCCCTGACTCCGACAATGTGAGAAACTGCCATTTTCATTGGATTATTTGATGTGTTGGCTAATCAAGATGGGATTTCTTTTGATTCTGCTTAGATCTCCATTGCCTTTCCTGATGATGGTGCGTGGAAACGATTTCACAAGCAGCTACAGCATTTTCCAACAGTGGGTCAATTTTCCTTTCACACCTGTTAAAGATCTGGTTCTCTCTACATGTACAAAGCTCACAATTTATCCCACACTAAAGTGAAGTCTATTTCGTGTCTCGTCACCAAAGAACAACGTTATTGCTTTTAATTGTCCTTGTTGTTGCATGAGCTATCCGTTATATTCTTTCAGATTGTGTGCGCGAAAGTCCGAGAAGGTGAGAAACGCATTGTCCGTATTAAGGAGGGGGATCCAGTAGGAAAGCATGTCGTTATAGTCGATGATCTGGTCCAATCAGGTGGCACTTTAATAGAATGCCAGGTAAACCCTTCAACCTTCCCCATCTTATATGCAATTCTTACATCACTATTATTATTAGGAGTTTTGTGCTGTTTTTAGTCTTCTCAAAGATGATATAAGTTTTGGGGATGCTCGAATTTGCAGAAAGTTTTGGCCGCACATGGAGCAGCGAAAGTCAGTGCCTACGTGACGCATGGGATTTTTCCCAAGAAGACGTGGGAACGTTTTAAACACGACAAAGGAGGTAGCCCATGCCTCTTTGGAGCCCATAAAAATATATTAAGTTCAAAAGGATATCTCCAGTGTGGCCTTTATGTGATGCATGTGAATATGATACTACTTTTAACATTGAAAACTCCATGGAATTGGCTATTTTTACTTCAATATAAAGTGCTGGTTTATTTGTGCAGGGAACCCGGAGGACGGAATGGCGTATTTTTGGATCACAGATTCCTGCCCAAAGACAGTGGTTGACGTGATGAACAAACCCCCTTTTGAAGTGCTCAGCCTCGCTAATTCCATAGCAGCCAGCCTTCTTATATGAACACACATTTGGATCCCCCATGAGTGTTCGGATTTGCATTGAGCTTTTACATATACAACTAAGAAAGGCACTACGATATTTATCGAATTGACATCGGGTGCTATATTGTACACGTACATTCCAACATATATGAATACGACATCCCGTTATATGGTACAACACAATAAAACTCATGATTTTACAGATTTTGTTTTAACGTAAAGATCCATATGTTTAGTCTCGCGCATTTAATTTGAGACACGTGGAGTATTTAAAATTTCTTTCAAAAGTTCTGAAGGATGAGATTCGAACAAATAGAATAAAGAGTAATACACAAAGCTCGGCTGATGTGTAGTGACGAGCTTGATCGAGATTTGATGGGTGTAAAGAGATACGATACAAAATGAAGATTTGATGGGTGTAAAGAGATACGATACAAAATGATTAAATGTGCGATGTGGTGGGTGTGAATATGTGAATTATTATACTCAGTAATTGACTGAAATAGAGATGTGTTAAAATATCGCTCTTGCGGCCTTAGAGATGACCGAGACCTGTTTGAGAATAGTCTTAGAGATTAGTGTTAACGTTTTGAAAAAAGACTGTCTACGAGCAACGTTAGCATTTTCAAAGTGATTTGCACTGTTGAAATTTAATCCAAAACGCTAACATTAATCTCTAACTCTATTCTCAAACAGGCTCCTAATTAAATTACTTTGAATTTCAATTTTAAATGAATAAACTAAATTGAACATTTTTTTAACCGGAGTACTTTTTTATTTCGGATCAACCACAAAATTGGGATTCTTTATTGTACGGAGAATTCCGATTTCCGACCCGCTGCCCCCAAATCAAGCAATAGCAATGGCGTAGGTTCCGGAGGATCCAGATTCTTCTCCGACAATCCGAACCCTAAACCAGACTCTCAGCTGTTCCTCCTCTGAAAATGAAGCGGAAGAAGTGGTCGGAGGCGGAGGAGAAAACCCTCTTGAACAAATACTCCGAGCTTCTGAACTCCGGAGCTCTCTCCAAGCTGAAGACAAGGGAGAAGAAATTCAAGCCCATCGCCGACCACGTGAACTCGGCGCACCACCTCCGCGACCCGCTTCTCTTCCCCTTCAAGTGGTCCTGGCGCGACGTCTCGATCAAGGTCCAGAACATGCGGCACCAGTACCTGGGCGTGAAGCAGAAGATCCGGAACCCGGACAACAGCTTCAATTGGGAGGACGGCGCGAACCACTGGGAGAATTTCTTCAGGTACAAGGAAGTTTTTGGAGATGTAGATCTGGAGATCAAGGGTTGCGGCTTCGAGGGCAGTGTGAAATTCGGGGACGAAGGAGGAGGAAGGGTTGGGTTCAGGACTGATAGCGAAGAATCCGAAGATGGAGATGAAGAAGAAGAAGATCTGGGTGATGATGATGGTGATGGGAGGGGGAGAGAGATGGTTGGCGATTCTGGTTTTGGCCGGGAGAAGAAACATAGGACGGGGAGATCACAAAAGAGGCTAAGAATTGTGGGCACTCAGGTATTGGGTTTGAGGGATGCGTTGTTGCAGAGGGAGGTGAAGAGGAGAGAAAGGGACTGGAGCAAGGAGGAAGAGATGATGGAGAGGGAGGATAAAAGGAGGGAGAAAGAGTTCCAAATGGAAGCGCTTGTTGAGGAGAAGACGACCGAGGTCGAGATGAAAGAACTGAGATTGTTGGAGGACCAGATGGTGTGGGCAAGGAAGGAGATGGAGAAAAGATTGAGACTTGAGAGGGAACTTGAAGAGGAGAGGGAGAGGAGGATGAAGGCAGAAGAGAAGCGCGAGGAGGATGAAATGGAGTGGAGGGAGCGTCTGATTGGGATGCAGATGGAGCACCAGAAGCAGATGGTGCAGATGCACGCCCATGCTTTGCAGAATCAAATGCAGATTCTTGGGGCTGTGACTCGGCTCGCGTGTCAATTCTTCGGAGTTGCAAATGATGGGTTGGGAGCGTTTCCCCATCACGTCTTGCAGAATTTGCAGCACTCTGTAGGAGGAGGAGGGGGAGGAGGCGGCTTGGGGGACAATGGGAAGGCCGGTTCTGCAGCTTCGCCCTCTGAGTTTTGTACTCTGTGATTAGAGCAATACCCTATTGTGATTTACAACTATAATGTTCATAGAGTTGATAATGAATAATTGGATGTTATTGATGTTATGATCACATCTTGAGAAAGGACATTCTGATTTTCCAGCTATGGTGTGAAAATGTTATTTTTATTCGATGTATATGTATTTCCATGGATTCCCAACTTGCATTGTTCGTCTCAAAATTTAGCCCATCATTCCCAGATGAAATGTTTTTATTGTCTGATTTGTCTCCTAAACAGAGCCAAAGAGGTCAGGTAATTTTTGGTAGATTGAATTATTACTTACTGTCTTACAGAGTAGCAAAATTACATCCATCACAAAAAGAAGCGCAAATCCAAACAAAGATTAAGAAGAATTGAAGGCATAGGAAATGGAGTCATATTAACTAACTCATCAACCCAACTGCATAATATGATGTGATCTGATGGGGTTAGCGTCAACGAACCAACTCAACCAAAAATTCAAGTTTGTGGTTGTGGTCCAGGAAAAACAAGCCCCCTCACATGCTAAGACTAATTCTTTTTTCGAGTCTTCGCCTGCACGTGAAATCTTGAAATTTTCAAAAAATTTGTGTCATTAAGTTTCGAACCCGTGACATCTTAATTAAGAAAACCTTGATACCATGTTAAGAAACCAACTTAACGAAAAGTTCAAACTTGTAATTGTGACTTAAAAAATGTTTCCTTTATATTCTAAGAATTAGAGAGTAAGAATAATCAATTTTTCGAACGAAACATCATATAGAGAGACACTGATGGTAATAAATAAGCAAATTAAATTTACATCCATTCATGAAAACAAGAAGGGCAGATCCAAACAAAGATAAAGAAAAATAAGATAGACATGAAGATCACTCAATTTTTTTTAAAAAAAAAAAAAAGGAGACAGAATTGAAAGACATTGGAAATGATGGAGTCAGATTATCGATCAGATGGGGATGGAGTTGGAGACGGTGGGATAGACGACGGTGGCGGGATGAGCCATGATGCGGCAGCCCTTTGTGCGGCGGAAGGGGTACACTATGGCCCCCACCGGCCACTCCACCAGCCCCGCCGCCGCACAGGCCAAGAGCCCCAGCGTCGGCCCTACCACCTTGCACCTGCACGGGTTGCTCCTCCCCGCGCTGCCGCCGCATTGAACACTTATCGGAATCCCCATCTGTAAATAATTAAATAACACTATTTTCCCTTTAATTATTTTATACGGAGTAGTATTTCTTTTTTCACTTATTAAAACTTCAACTCTGATAATGAATTACTTTAAAACTTCGGAGCAATCAACCGATCCTTTATATAGGGAGTAATTTACCGCCCGCCCGCCACGTCGATTTCGCGCTCAAGTATGGGGAGATGAAGGCGGCGCCGGTATGGTGCGTGCGTTACCAATTTAGCGTCCGCCACGTGTACTCTTATTTGAAAGGAAATGCCGTTTTCATCATACACGTGTCCGCTATCCCCAGATTATTGACACGTGTGCATTAGTCTGACGCGAAGAACTAAAAAATGAGTATTCCGCGTTATGGGCCATGGCCCATGAGGAAGGGTTTGGCACTTTGGCCCACCTCCCCCAAACTCACTCGTTGTCGCCGGGTGAGATTGCATTTCTTTTTAATTTTTTTAATTTTTAGTAAATTTTAATCCATCCGAAATAATTTACATCTATTTTTATCACGCTTCATAACACATAGGGAGTACTTTGTGTATTTTACTCACATCTGCTAATTTACCTGACACCAACGTGACACCTAAACCTGGCAACCCCCGACCCAAAACCAAAATAACTTGGAACCGAATTTAAAATAACCCGAAAATTAAAGAATCGAATTAAACCTGAATACTCGAAATGATTCGAACTGAATCGAATGTATGATCTGAATACTGAAATTGTTAGACCCAAAAACCGATTAGACACAATATTGATCAATTTTAAAACAAATTAAATTCAAATACAGTCAAACTTAATAGCTCATTGGTTGATGTCTTTCTAAGAAAAAATATATTTGAATTATAAGTACAACTGATTTAATGTACAAATCTTTTACTCCGTATTTTATCATTTAAATTATGGTTGTTCTCTATTTTTATAAAGACTTTATATGATTTATATGGACATCGTAACACATATTAATGGACATACAAGCTCATTATTGCTGACACTTGTATATATATGCTCTCTTTACACACAGGAAGGAGAGGCTCCACAAAGGCTAACATTAGGAACGCTAATACCAAATGATCTTATCTGAAACAACAACAACAACAACAACCCAGTTAAATCCCACAAGAGTAGGGTCTGGGGAGGGTGTGTGTACGCAGACCTTGCTCCTACTCGAAAGTAGAGAGGCTGTTTCCACAGAGACCCCCGGCTCAACGTCGAAAGTTGCATTGTTTGACTAAGTGCTACTTCATTAATTAAAGAAGCGCAGATAGTTTAGAGATCCATTTTGATTTATTCCTTAAAACCAAAAGCCAAAAATGGTGAAATTTTGGCTCCATCGGAGATAATGGAATCGGTATATAAATCCGAACCGGTATAAACCTAATCCGGTATTAACCCCAAATCGATATAAACCCGAACCGGAACCGGAAAAAAAATTAAACCAAATTTAACCTAAAATCAAACTGACTCGAACCACCCGAACCGATTATAACGTATAAATGAAAAAGACCCGAACAGAAAAGGTCCAAATCAAAACCGAACTGATATACCTGATTGCCAGGTCTAGTGACACCACATCTAGCCACATCCAGCTTTAACTACAACACATGATTTAACGATAATTTTATTCATAATTTTACTTTTCCTTATACAGTTATACTCCATGAAAGTCAAACCAGATATTTTTAATTTATTTTATGACGGAGAGAGTAAATATTATGGGATAGATAAAAAAAATTGCAGTTCACAGAGAATAAGAGATCATTTAGTATTAATCTTTATTAAACCACAGTATATTACAGAAGCCATGTATGTATTAAAAAGAAAGCTCTGTTCCAAACACTGGGATTTCCTTCCTTTCAAATTTGATTATCTACATACACCAGTCACCAGATAACCCATAGGAAAGGGTCTGGACTGGCATCTTTGCTATATAGACACCTTATTCCCTAGTAAAAGCAGTACACAGAATGCTGATGTCTCAATTACAGGATGGAAGACAGCCCCCATCCCAAAAGGGAGGAATAACTATGTCCAAAATGGTCATTTTGAAGGAACTTTCGAGGCGCGTCTGGTAGAAACAGAGAGATCGCCGCCGGGTGTGCAAACCAGAGAAGCCCTTTGCTGCAAATGTCTCAAGCTTTGCTCCATACTGACTTGCACCATTTCAGCTAGCATCTCCTTCGCCTTGCCGGGGTTCTCCTCCCCTCCCATTTGGGATATAAGGTTACTAACGATGTTCTCTAGGGTGTCGGCTTTAAGCTCAGATCTTGGGAAAGGACACTCTCTCAGTAATCTCAACAAAGTTTGTGCCTTTGCTTGGGACTTTGGGGTTCCTTGAACAGTGAGCTCCAGAAGCCCGGGGATCACGCCTTCTCTGAGAATGGGTTCCCTGTATTTACACCTGTCGCTCTCACACATCTTCAAAAGGGCCCCGAGAGCATGCTCTCGGCTCTGACGGGACCCACTCTCAAGAACTTCCACTACAGTCAGTACCCCGCCTTCTTCGGATGTCAACGCGGTCCTACCCTCCTCGTAACCGACTAAAGATTCTATCAGGGCCGTACATTTTTCTGCTGTTTTAGAAGATCTTTTGCAGGATTTGAGCAGGCTGACAATGGAAGGGATGGGGTCCGTCTGGAGAATTGGGATTATATTGCCTTCATAGGATGAGAGGTTGTAAAGAGCCATTACAGCATCAGCCTTAGATTGTGTAGGGCTCCCATTCTTTAGAACTTCCACAAGAAGAGGGATCACACCAGAAGCCGTTATGATGGGCTTCGTGACAGGAGAAGCCGATAGGGTGAGGAGGGAAGCGGTTGCATGCGCTTGCAGAGTCGCATTCTTGGACTTTAGAAATGATATGATAGGTTGCAAAGCACCAGCATCTATGATTTTTACCTTATTTCTGCAAGAAGGTTAAAAATTTGTATAAGGTTTATACCATTAAATATGTTTTCTTGATAATCCATTCTATTCTTAATTTTACATGCTACCAGATGCTTTTATCATAATAATAAGTGGTTGCAGATTCAAAGAGGAAATTAGTCCCGTTTGGTTCTTCACTGAAATGGCTTATTCAAATGGGAATTGAGTCACGTTTACCACCAATTTATTATCTAAATGGTAAAGAGAATAACTGCAAGAGCACAAACTCTCTTTACCAGACTCCTTTTGTTATGTGAAAACAGAAAAGAAAAAAAGACAATATTCCCAAGCACTATATTTAAAGAAGCATTTAAGGAGTCTACAATATTCATGTTATTCATTTCATTGTACATAAGATTGGGGAAAAGGAGAATACTTTACTGAAAAGTATGGATTTCATCTCATGGATCACAATCCAATAAAGGTGAAAGCTTCACAGGAAAGACTAAAGAAAAGGGGAACATCAAACATGAGAATAATAAAACATGGCAACCAGCTAACCTAAACAACATGAGGCGAAAAAGCATTTTATTCTAAGCCACTGGATTAAAAGAAATAAAAAAATAAAATAAAAAGGAAAAGCAGCTGATGTGAGTTTGTATTCAACTTAATCATCTTAGCAAGAAATATTTTTAAAAAAACCCATATATCCATTGCCCTAAAAAAAGTTTTTTTTATATAAAAAAGAATCCAAACTCAAATTCTAAGTTGGTCAGTAGATAACAATCTAAAGTTCAAGGAATATAGAAACCTTAACCAGTTTCAATATTTTGGAACCCCACAAAAAACTCAAACATCTGCAACCAATCAGAAGCAACCAAAAACAACAACGAACCCCGGTCTGCTCTCACATGTGGCGTGTGCGAGGGAAGGTGATGTATGATGTTCGTACGCCCCTACCCGTGATGTATTGAGAACCATATGCATGTCCCAATATTTTGTGGCTAGATAAAAAATGTGGGTAAAAGGGTTAAGAGTGAAAAATATTGCAATTATTGTGCCACCTTACTGCAAAATGGTGTAAGAGGTTAGGCATGAATTTGTCTTCTTGATAAAGCATAACAATCCAAAAGTACTCCGTATTTCTTAAAGAGAACTTGAATTTATGTAACACCATTGGAACCAAGAACTCGAGGAAATATAGCTTTTGATCAGTGCATCATTCTCAAGAAATATAATGGTAACAATAATCAATCTTTACCATTTAGTTGTACCAAAAATCTTTTTTAATCATATAGTATAATTTGGGAAGTATTATTTTAATCTGCAAGCAAACAAAACAGGGCCAGAAAAGAAAGAACAAATGATTGATTGAAGGAAATGGTAAGGATAGGACTATAGGAGACAGGAAGAAAATTAAAACTGAAGCCACTCCCAATAACCCTTCCCAAAACAGGCAACAAACAGAAGCAATACAAGAAATCGAAGCGTGCAAGGGATAATCTCTAATGGCAGAATAATCTGATTATGAAAAGAAATTTTATGAATATAAATAATCTAAGCAAACATAACCGATCATGCGTGAAAGGGCTAGGGCACTTACCCTTCGTCTTTGACGGCGAGATTGAGCAGGGCAAGGAGAGCGGCCTCGCTGGATTCGACGGCGCCGGAGCGGAGCATATCGACGAGAGGTTCAACGGCGTTGGAGAAGTGACGGCGGTAGCGATGGGAAGTCTTGGTGAGGCGCCGGATCTCCCCGGCGGCATGGATTTTGCAAACCGGGTCATCTGAGCGGATGAGCTGAAGAGTCTGGTTGACGACGGCGGGGAATGAGGAAGAGGCCGATGGAGGCGTTTCGCAGTCGGAGCTAGTGCCACCGGCGGCGAGAGCCGCAAAACTAGTGATGGGAGTAAGTCGGGTCGGGCTATATCGCTCCGGTTCCATTCTGGGCTCTCCGAGATGCGAGGTCGTTATAATTACGGAGTACATATAGTCCTTTGATTGAGAAACGGAAAGAGAAATAAAGGGGGAAAAGCTCTCACGAAAATTAGGGGATATTTTATGCAAATTAAAATGAAATTTCAAAATTTTTTAATTGATTTTATTTAAAAAATAATATAAAAACTAAAAATAAAACTTACATATTTAAAAACAATGTAAAAAGTTCCACAGAATAAGAGGCAACAATATTTTTTTATTTTATCAAATAACTAATCAAAACGCACAATAAATAAAGGTTTTCGCGACTTTTGAATAATTAAGATTGCAATTCTTTTTGGGATAAATCGAATATCATATACTGCGTAATAATTATCTGCACAAAATTATCTATAAAAAAATAATGATGTTATGTCTAGTATCATATTTCATGTCAATGTAGCTTTCTCGATATAGCATTACATAAAAATGAATATGAAAATGAAATAATATTTTTATAAATATTTGGTGTATGGAGAAGGGGGTTATGAGTTAGAAACCATCAATTTTACTAATAAAGTACCATAGGAAACTCAAATCATTTTGAGGTTAAAATAATTCAAGTAAAAAAATCGTGATGTAGATGTTTACATTGACAAAACAATGCTAGTGTTTGTAAATGTATTTGAAAAAATAGTATGTGAGTTGGGTTCCAAATAAGGGAAGGGTACCTCTAACATGATTCAAACAACTAAAACAAGAATACTCTCAAACATGGTCTTTAAAGGTCTCGTTTGGTATCAGCGATAGAAAATAGCATTTTCGTTTTGAAAAGATTATCTGACGATAGCTTTTAACGTTAGCGTTTTCTGAATTAATCTACATTATTAAAATTGTATCCAAAATACTAACGCTAATCGAAAACGTTGTTCTCAAACAAAGCCAAAATCATTTATAATAACGTTATTCATAATTAATGATTTTGAATCAATGTTGGAAGGTTTGTAGACATATCACGAATGAATATTTCCGAGTCATTTTTTGGAGTTTTTTTTACTTTATTAGAAAAATCAAGAAGCGTGCCAATTTTTTTCAGAGAAACTAAAAAAAAGTTTATTAATTTCACTAGGAACGAAAAGAGTATAATATTGAATTTTTTACAAAAATATATGAATTACATTAAAAATAATTTTAATCAACTTTCGTAAATGAAAATTTACAGCTACTTAAATGAAAATTTGACTCAAAATAATTACAATTTTCTTTTTTTGAGGAAAAAAGATTAACAACTAAAGGGATTAAGGCCCAACGGACCATATTTGAAGATCGTATGAGAAACGTTGCGTTAAGCAAGAGGAAGGTGGGGCCGGAGACTAGTGATTGGCCGGCCGCAGCCGTGTCGGATTTATATAGAAGTTGTTGCGCTGTGCTACACGACGACCAGATATTTAGATTCTTTAAATACTAGAAAATTCTCAAAACCATACTTATTAATAATTAGGGAGTACTCCCTATATGTTTTCCTAAATAACTTTTTAAGATACTTGTTCACGCGTTACTCGTTAATTAAAAAATAATTGAATAAATTATATTAATAATTTTATTTATTTGATATGGATAGTTAATTGAAATATTTTAATTAGTTATTTATTTATTAGTAGTTATTTATTATTAATTATTAATATTCTATAGTTAGAGTTTTAGTATGGGCACGAGCCCATTAGAGCATCCACAATGGCAACATCTCTCATTAGATGTCCAAGTGTGGGCTCCACTATAAAGATGTTATTCTAGCACCTCTCTCAACATCTTATTCTTTCAATGGTAGCATCTCATTTAGATGCCTAAATATCTATTCAATTAATATAGTAGGTCCACTAATATATATATATATATATATATATATATATATATATATATATATATATATATATATATATATATATAATTTTATTTTTTGTTAATTATAAGTATTTAGTTATATAATAAATTACGGAGTATTAATTATACAAAACTTGAAAGTATTATATTGAAAAAAATTATTCTTTATATTTTAAAACTAGTTTGTTCTCCATCAATATCAAAAAAATCTAAAAACGACCCATTTGGATGTAAATCCATTTTTTAAGAAAAAAAAATTCTAATTTGCAACAATTTGTAAAAAAACATTTACTTAAAATATTTATTGGATTTACAAAAAAAAAGTCATTGGAAAAGTACTTAAAAAGATAGCTATTTAAGAAAATTGCCAAAAAAAGAATTGAATATATATATATATATATATATATATATATATATATATATATGACACATGGCACATAATCATTGGACCACAAAACTAAAGAAATAAATGCATGGAAACCCTTCCCCCTCAAGCACCGATGCTATGTGAAGCATCCCCCTCTCTTTTTCTTCCTTGGACATCTATAATGAGCACCCACCTACAACAATAGCATCCAACAACATCTCACTCTCTTTCCTCCTAGCATCTCTTGTAGGCATCCCATCGGAGATGGTCTCAGGTCAAGAGATGATGTCTTATCCCTATTTATTGTAATCTCGTATTCTTATTATGAATCAATCAATAATTAAGAATTCTCTTAATCTCATTTTCTTTTCTCTTGGAGCCCGGAAACGCTCTAAGCTTTCCATCTTTCTCTACCTCATCTTCTTGGAGGAGTTGGAGCTTGAAGAACGCTCGAAGTTCTTCCATATCCGATACGATATTCCCAAATTAAATTGTATATTTGCTATTCACATGGTCAAAATTTATTTAATTTATTTTTCTTTTTTTAGTTATTTGATAAAATTACTTACTAATTTTAAGTATGTAAATTCTATAACATTTTTTCATATAAAATAATTTAAAAATAATTTCAGTCAAGCATCGTAAACTGAAACAGGTCATTTAAATCGGGACATAGGGAGTTAAAGTTTTACTTATCGATCTCATTTTCAACTAATTTATTAGTGTGCTCTATTGATTAAATTAGCTTAATATAGCTTATGATGGAAAAAACATGTAACACTTTTTTTTTATTTCAAATTACTTATACTATATTTATCCTTAAAAAAATGTCGACGTCATTTTACGAAGTACTCCGTACTACACTCGAGCTGCTCTAAAAATGTCGACCTCATTTTTATTTAAAAAAAAAACATTATATTGACGGTGTCATGACACTATATAGTGAAAAAAGTTAAAACTAAATGATATGATTTTTTTTCCTGAAATGTTTAAACGATAAATCTATTGTCAAACGAGCAATAAAATTTTAGTACAAATAATAAGAAAAAGCTAAAAAGGCCGGTTAACGTGGATCAATTAAGCATATGCTTCCATGACGATTATATTTAATTCAACTTGATGAATTAAATTTTTTAAATAAAAAAAAAGGCCTCAGAGTATATATGTTTACTGTTTAAATATATTGTGCGACTTTGGTGGCAAAGAGCTTCCGACACGGAATCCAACTTAATCATAATTATTCATATTGAATCATAGAACAACAAATACGTAAATTATTTACACAAACTACCCGAAAATCTTGCACATCTGTTTTTATTTAAAAAATGTGTAAGATTTCCTCTACTTTTAAATTTTTTTATTTGAAATTCGTATAGAAATAAAAATAGTCCATCCATATCACTTTGAGTTGCATGTTTTCTTTATTCATTTTTATTACCTATTTGATAAAATAATATTTTGTATATTATATTATTTTTGTTACTTCTTGTTTTGTAGATCTTTCTGTGTAGTTAATATATATGTAATTTTTTTTAAATTCCACATAAATTTTCAAATAAATTACGTTAAAAATAATTTTAGTCAAATCTCATAAACATCAACATGCAATTTAAATTGAGATGGAAAGAGTAGAAGTTATATCATTTAAAACTATATAAAAAGTTCTATAAATCAAAAAGTGACAAAAATATTTTATTTTATCAAATGATCAATGATAACATATGTACATAACAACATAAGTTGTCGAGAAATTATACGACTAATAACTAGAAAAAAGATATGGGACGAAAGAATAATTATAACGTTTTGCAAGTTTGTTTTTTGGCTCCCTTTTCTTATCTTATACTTCTGTTTCAAAATATTTTACACTTTACGCAAAATAAAGTAATTTTTTCATGTTTATTTAATTTTATTTAAAGATTGATATAAAGTTAAAACTAAAACTTAAACATCTAAAAACTACGCCAAAAATTCTACAAAAGAAGAGCTGACAAGAATCAAAGCGTACAAATAAAGTAAAGTTTATTTGACTTTTGAATAGTGAGAAGTACTCCGTAAAATTCTTGGACGGGGCTACCAAAATCTCGTGAATTTGTAAAATTGTAAGATTTCAAAATTAATTCGGGAGCACAAGAATAACTCATACGAAGTATTTCCCTTTCTTAGTCTCTTTAGTTATGAGGGTTTGTCGTGTGATTTTTTGTTCTCCACAAGATCCAATACGTTTAATCATTTCATGTCTCAACATTTATAAAATAAATATGAACCTAAAAACCACACAAAAAATTCCAAAGTACATATGCTTTTCAATTAACGTTCAAATTTCGATTTACTCTTTGAAAAGTCCAAAACTATTTCTAAAATTTTATTAGGCATCACGCTTAAATACTCGTTTCAAATGGCTAGGCTAAACCTGACGTCAAATGGCTAGGCTTAAATATTAGGCATCAACGCTTAATTTGGTCTTGCTTGAAATTTTGAAGAAAAAAAAATCTTGACCAAAAAATCTAAAAACAATATAGAAATGTTTTTTGACTTCTGTTTTTTACTTCAATCCTACCCAAATCATCACCCAAGGTATACTACTTACATAAACACACACACACACACCTCACCATAAGTCCTCTCTATATATTCTTTTTACTTGTCACTTCCAAGAATCCGCTATTGTTCGAAAAATGACGGGCTTTAATTAAAAATGTGTAATTTTGATGTTTTTTTTAATTTTTCCCTTTATAATATGGTATATGAGATATGTAGAATAGAGAATTTTGAAATTAGAAAATAACACCAAAAATTCATACGTTTAAACTGTTCTTTCTTTTTTTGCAAATGGGAAATGCTTTTTTTTGGATGGATGGAATAGTTGTGGATTGTTGTAGAGAATGTTAAAAGTTCATTTGTTGGATGATAGTGGGCCAAAGTAACATTTTTAATTAATTTCTACACAAATATACTTTGTGCCTCCATTTCATAATGAATATCGATTGAGATTATTAGATATATTAGAATTGAAATGAATGTAGACATACGTAAGTCTACATTCATTCAAAATCTTTAATAAACAGTCATCGTAGAATGGAGGGAGTATATTGTTATGAAGATGGATGAGTATCATTTTTGTGTATGTTTGCTAAAAC